CGTACTGCCTGTTATGTTGATGTAATGTAAACGATCGTATTGAGCAGCCTGTTATGTTGATGTAATGTAAACAATCATATTGAGCAGCCTGTTATGTGGATGTAATGTAAACAATCGTACTGCCTGTTATGTTGATGTAATATAAACGATCGTACTGCATGTTATGTTGATGTAATGTAAACGATCGTACTGCCTGTTATGTTGATGTAATGTAAACAATCATATTGAGCAGCCTGTTATGTTATTGTAATGTAAACAATCATATTGAGCAGCCTGATGTAACAACACACCAAATATGAAGCACTAAAACAATTCCACTATCAAAAATAATTGCCTTGTAAATTCTGCAATAGATGTAGCATTCCAGCATCTTTTTTGGCAGAAAACACCATTTTGGGGTTAAATGTTTTGCTCCATAACCCTGCAATAGTAGTAGAAGGGTCATGCTGTTTAAGAGCAAAGCTTCTTCACTGTAAACATTTTATGAAATTTGGTGTCTTCTGACATATAGACATCTACTATTACTATCTACGAAACTCCCCACAAAATCTTTCTCAAGCAGGTAGAGCCTGTGATTGTAAGGCTTAGCTGACAGCTGTAATCAAGTGGTCAAATCTACTCCGTAACTTGGAATGTAAGGGATAATATATCAGTTCCGGAGTTCAGGTTTACTCAAGTAGGCACGGGAATACAGGTCAACAATTTTTTCAATGTGAAATTTAACTCAATAGCTCATAAATTAAATATCATCAAATCCTTTCACAGTTACCGATCTCATAGTCACTCAGGCTGAAATATCTTGATAGATAACACAACTTTACTGTGAAATTCCACATAATGCATCAGGATCGTCAAATTCTTTCAGCTCTTCTGAAAGTTAAAATATGACTTTCTTTCAGTATTTCAATCTTGCAGCTATGGTAACTGTTAAACTTCTAGTCCCGTTCTATGTTGAAACAAGAGGGAATCCTCAAGAGCCATGGCACTTGAAATTCTTTTAGGCAGGATTACAGTAATTAGCCTAGGAGATTTTTTTTTCTTTTTATTAGTTACATTTTTGTGTGCCAGCGATACCAAGAGTGAGGAACATGCATACTCGATTTGATATTATTATTCATCAGGATCTTTACCAGCCTCCTCTCAAATTGAAATTCTTCTAGGCAAGATTAGAGTAAATTTATCTATGAGAGCTTGGACATTGTCAAATACATTAGTCGGAAGAGTTTAACCTCCTGAATCCAAAACTGTAATTAGATCTCAAATCCGTCAAAAGAGGACGGAGCTATAAGCTAAAGGTTTGTACTTGAAAAACTCGGAGCCATTCTATGAGCCACAATACCATGAAGAAACTTCACATACATAAGAGTACATTTCCTGACTTACGTTTGAAACCTAATTCTCTTATTTGCTGATCATTTTCAGGTCTTCAGATATCCATCTCTCTGTTACTGTAATCTCAATCAGCCTTTAAAAAGTATGACATGCATTACAGAAGCCAAAGCATGACACAAAATTTCTTGCTTAAAGTAGTTTAAGGTCTGTTTTCATCATCCATTTCTATATGCCACTAGTCAGCCACCTGCTGTAGTGTTGTAGGAATGGGTGTCTTGTGTAATATTCATGCACCCACTGCAAAGAAATTACATTTAAACTTACTACACTGACCATCTAAAATCAACCCAACCTTGATTTCCCATCCTTTTTCTTCATAATCATTTCTGGAGATGAACAAATACTCTCAGATGGATCTATTGTTTCAGCTTTCATGAACAAACAGTCTCAAATGGTTGTATTGTTTCAGCTTTCATGAACAAACAGTCTCAAATGGTTGTATTGTTTCAGTGAGAGTGTTTGTTCATGAAAGATTGGTTGTATTGTTTCAGCTTTCATGAACAAGTTCTTTTAGACTTTTGTTTGAGCTTTGAATTATTCCTGATAGATAGCTCCATTTTCCATAGAATCATAGCTTAGGTTCGATTCTGCTGTGACTTCATCCCTGTCACTAATTTGCTACTCATCAAATTACCAGTCAGTGACAAGTGCTAGACCACCTAAATTCCACTATATACCACATGCCATGAATCCATCCACAAGCTTAACTCAGGTACAACTGTGTTCTATTTGCTGTATAGTTCCTCATACAAATACTCAATAGCACTGATTGTTGAACCATCCAAACTCAGCATCTGGCACTGCAATACCAGTCCTTGAGTCACCATCAATAGAGTGCATCTGGCACAGCAACATCAGTCCTTAAGACACCAAAACCATGCATCTGGCACTGCAATACCAGTCCTTGGGTCACCATCAATAGAGTGCATCTGGCACTGCAACATCAGTCCTTAAGACACCAAACACATGTATCTGGCACTGCAATACCAGTCCTTGGGTCACCATCAATAGAGTGCATCTGGCACAGCAACATCAGTCCTTAAGACACCAAAACCATGCATCTGGCACTGCAATACCAGTCCTTGGGTCACCATCAATAGATTGCATCTGGCACTAAAACATCAGTCCTTAAGACACCACCAAAAGCATGCATCTGGCACTGCAATACCAGTCCTTGGGGCACCATCAATAGAGTGCATCTGGCACAGCAACATCAGTCCTTAAGACACCAAACACATGCATCTGGCACTGCAACATCAGTCCTTAAGATACCACCAAAAGCATGCATCTGGCATTGCAATACCAGTCCTTGAGTCACCATCAATAGAGTGCATCTGGCACTGCAACATCAGTCCTTAAGATACCCCCAAAAGCACTTTAAAAAGCTTCAAGAAGTGATCCGCAGCAGTACCTATATAGTTTGGAAAACTTGTTTGCTTTTTATTGTCACCATTAAACAGCGTAAGTGTATCCGCATTGTATAACAATTACATTTATTATATCTGCATACATATTTAGACTCTACAGTTATCAGTTCAATTTCACACCATTATCACATGTAACATATCTGTGTTATTAAACAATCACTAGGGTTCAAAACCTTGCAGTAAGTTACAGTTCCATACTACAAGTTATTTGTTTGTTATTAAACAATCACTAGGGTTCAAAACCTTGCAGTAAGTTACAGTTCCATACTATAAGTTATTTGTTTGCTATTAAACAGAACAACATACCTTCAATGCATCTGTCACATCTTCAACATCTAAACAATATTCACACAAAGCATGAACAATCTCTACTTGGGTTCGAAGAGATAGTGAAGCAAAGGACGTCTCAAGAGGAAATGGGTGAAATCGTCTTTCCTCGACTACCCATTTTTGTTGAAAAAGGTCTCTTAACTGTTCTTCCCAATTCTGTGAGCTAAAATAATATCACAAAATTTTGAAAAACTGATAACATTTAAACATTTTTCTTAACAAACATTAATCAAATCCTCTACAATATGAATAGTAACTTACACAATATCAAGTTTAATACTGTTGCAACAGATGTATAAAATAGTAACATAAACAATATCAAGCTTAATACTGTTGCAATAGATGTATAAAATAGTAACATAAACAATATCAAGTTTAATACTGTTGCAACAGATGTATAAAATAGTAACATAAACAATAGCAAGTTTAGTACTGTTGCAATAGATGTATAAAATAGTAACATAAACAATATCAAGTTTAATACTGTTGCAACAGATGTATAAAATAGTAACATAAACAATAGCAAGTTTAGTACTGTTGCAACAGGTGTATAAAATAGTAACATAAACAATAGCAAGTTTAGTACTGTTGCAATAGATGTATAAAATAGTAACATAAACAATATCAAGTTTAATACTGTTGCAACAGATGTATAAAATAGTAACATAAACAATATCAAGTTTAGTACTGTTGCAACAGATGTATAAGATAGTAACATAAACAATATCAAGTTTAGTACTGTTGCAATAGATGTATAAAATGAAGTTTCAGTGAATATAATAATAAAGGCTGCTGACTAACTGTGTGACAATGGACATATCCAATTTAACAAACAATAAGAATTATTTAATAAATCCAAAGTAGTATTTCCCTTAATTGGAAGGTATAAACATGGAATCAACAAGTAGAGATCAGGTGATCTTTGTAGCAGAGCAATTTATGATATAACATTATGACAACAAATCTTAATGAGGCTTAAGGAGGAAGCTGAGCAAAATGGTAATCTGTCTTTCTCTGCTATCAAATTAAATTCAGTTCATATGAGCAAAATAACTATCCAGTTCATGTTAGTGCTGGTCTATAAACATCTCACATATCTTTATTAAATACTTGAACTAATAAGACCATTTTTGTTATTTTTAAACATCTTGCATATCTTTATCAAATACTTAAACTAATAAGACCATTTTTTGTTGTTATCTATATAACAAACACACATACAAGTCTAAGGCATTAATTGTTCTTTTGAAAATAGCTACAAAGTTTTGAATTATTTTTTATTTATTATTCAGCTCTCACGAGTATGAATCATTGACTACTTCACTGACGGAAGACTTTTGTAACCATACAACTGAATATGTTACTCAATCTCTCACGAGTATGAATCATTGACTACTTCACTAAGGGAAGACTTTTGTAACCATACAACTGAATGTGCTAATCAATCTTTCATGAGTATGAATCATTGACTACTTCATTAAGGGAAGACTTTTGTAACCATACAACTGAATATGCTACTCAATCTCTCACGAGTATGAATCATTGACAACTTCACTAAGGGAAGACTTTTGTAACCATACAACTGAATATGCTACTCAGTCAAATATTCTACTCCTTCATCAAAATGTTAGTTTCACAGGACTCACCTGATGTCTTCTGTTTGATAATAAGCCTGTAACAGTTTGATAATCAGATCCTGGAGAAAGCTGTCTTCACCTAAAAGGAATGCCTGTTCTAGTTCCTTGAACAAAATCATTAAAACAAATTAATACCATATGTATGGGTCTGACTATCTTAACATTACTGGGGAGGATACTGTACTGTATGTATGTATGGGTCTGACTATCTTAACATTACTGGGAAAGATACTGTACTGTATGTATGTATGGGTCCGACTAGCTTAACAATACTGGGGAAGATACTGTATGTATGGGTCTGACTATCTTAACATTACTGGGAAAGATACTGTATGTATGTATGGGTCCCACTAGCTTAACGTTACTGGGGAAGATACTGTATGTATGGGTCTGACTATCTTTATATTACTGGGGAAGATAGTGTACTGTATGTATGGGTCCGACTAGCTTAACATTACTGGGGAAGATACCGTACTGTATGTATGTATGGGTCCGACTAGCTTAACATTACTGGGGAAGATAATGTATGTATGGGTCTGACTAGCTTAACATTACTGGGGAAGATACTGTACTGTATGTATGTATGGGTCTGACTATCTTTATATTACAAAATAAGAAAATGAAAAAGTAATATATATAACCAGATGACAAGAATTCCAATGATTTTATGTGTCTGGGCACAAGCTGGATAATTATATTTTTCACACTGGTACATGTGACTTACTAATATCGATATTTTTTGGAGAACACCAAAACCACTGCAGTACAAGTTTTAGCCAAAAGAGTTATGTACCATTTTCAGTTTATTAAAAAACAAATAAATATGTATGATTCCCATCAGACTTCCTGTACGTTATCAAAAACCATGCTCATTACTGATAACTGTCTAATAGCTAGTAGTTTACTTTTTGTGGTCATTAAACAACACCATCAGTGAAACATTATATAATACAATCAAAACATTGTTGTCCTTTAACTTAAACAGGAGCAGTAAGTTTAAACTCAATCCACTGTCACTACCTGACTCAGTATTGGCCAACCAATCCACTGTCACTACCTGACTCAGTTAACTATTGGACTGAGTCAGGTAGTGACATGGATTGTAACT